TAATTAAGTGAAATTAAAAATCATTCCCAGTTTAACCCTTATCTCAAAGTAGATTACTCTGTGTCTGACCTGAAAATAAAATCCATATATGCTTGCATTCTTACTTGGTTTTTGCCTTTAATTCTAAAATGGCATATATTAAAAAAAGGATATTTCTCCCTGTCAAATGTTGCCTTTCGATTTATTGGCCACTCATTTTGATAAAGATAAGAAGAACACAACCAAAGTAGGGGTAAGATTGAAAAGAAAGTATCTGTGAGATACAGTCATTATCCCAGGATGGATACCAACCACAGAGCAACTCCCCACATACTTTCTCTTTTGCTGTTGTTGGCTTCAGACCTTGCTTCATTTAAATTGCACCTGGCATACTTGGTACATATAGGTTGCAGACATTCCTGTTTCCTGTAGAGAAGCACAAGTTTGAAAAGTACTTGCCACTCTAGCTGAGCAGGAGGGATTCCCAGTGCCAATTTCTTCTTGCAGCTAGAGAAATTACCATCTATGTTTTTGGATGGGTTTTGCATGTATCTTGTCTCTTGTTTGCAAATGTTATCGGTGTCTTGCATAATGAAACCGGGCAAGTTCTACTGCCAGGACAACCCACCTGTGAGAGGGAAGTCTCAGGTAGTCTTGTTGCACAGATGTGTAGCAGGAATGGAGCAGTACCAGTTCTTCTTGAGTATTTCATCTCGTGGGTCGACTTGCTCTGTCAAACCCTTCTATCCTAGACCTATTTAATCACCACTTTCCACTTGCTGGGTAAGATTGCAGAGCTGGTTTTTCTCCTGGAACCATTCCCTGACGACATCCATGTGAACAATTGGGAGCCAGTACCTTTGAATCCTTCACAGTTCTGACCTACAGTGCTCCAAATTTTAATCCAGATCTTAAACAACAGAATTGTATTGTCTGAGCCACACTCTCTCTGTGAGTGGTTCAAAATATGGTGCTGATCTGGAGCTTGTTTGGAGTGGTTGATGTGACCCTTTGCTCTTAGGAGTCTGTGTGTGCCATGAGAAAAAAGAAGTTAAATACACATCTATTTAGCCTAAAGCCTCCTTGCCAGGGAACCCAGAACCTGTTTTTTGAATCCCACAAACCAGTGTGTACCCATCACCATTTCCAATGTGACCTCAGCCCTGGACAGGAGGACTTTCAGGACTGCTTTTCTGGGTTAAGAGCTGAATTATATTTCTCTTCTAATTACTGTGTTGCCAACATGCTGTTCTACAACTGACCTTAGACCAAACCTCAACTGTTTTCTATTTTAAATGTCTGATGCAAACATCAGACTTAAGTGCAAGTCTGGATTTTCTGCAAGGTCTGTGTCTCTTGGGGCTTCTGCATTTCTGTAGGTCTGCTGTGTGGATGCCAGAACTGATCTATATGTACTCAGATACTTCTGGTGCTGAAACACCAGATTAGATGTCAGTGACCTAGCAAGATGCAGCACAAAAGAGGAGCAAGGTTCTTTTCCCTTGTGAATAGGACACGATTAGGACATGAGTTTTATGTTCTGCCTAAAAAAAAAAATCACCATTCTGGAAAAACCTGTAACAGCTGGGGTGTCGTGAACGGTTGTAGAAACTGAGGATCGTGTGTGTTTAACGTTTGTGCTATTGAACCTCAGGGCAGAAGAGAGTTTGAATATCTAATGCAAAACACTTTAAACAACTGCTTCATTGAGCAATAACTCTTTATATAGCTAGTCTCTGCTTGTTTTGCATTTGCCCTAGGATCTGTAAATCATAGTGTTCACAGGCAAGCATGGGTTGAGCATGTAAAAACACATAGGCAGAGAGTTGAGGAGTTGGGAATGGAATACACAAGCTCCTCTTCTAATTCTCTTGTGTAAAACATCTCTACCAGAAATATGCTTTGCTGTAGAGGAGGCGAAGTTTTCCTCCTCTCTGCATTCTAGCTGGTCTCTGGTATTTTGCTGTGCCTCACCCACATGAGAGACTTGTGTCCAAATGCAGCTTCTGGGGTGTGTGCAGCTGGGGAATCACATGTGGCACCATTCTAAAAATGATCCATGTATGTGTTGGTGCAATTTCAGGAATTCAGTTCCCAATATATGGCTCAGAGAACATTTTAACAAAATTCCCTTCTTCCATGAGTTTGCTGATCTAGATCAGATTTTTTCTGTACTTGAAGAGCTGTTTAATAGGCACATTTTCAATTCCTGCTACATTTAATCTAAAAGAAATACCCAGAACAATAACAACAATTTAAAAAAACCAAAAAAACCAACCAACCAAACAAAAACTCCACAAAAGCAAAACAAACAAACAACAAAAAACCCCAAACCAAACAACAATAACAAAAAAACAAACAGGAATCACATCTTTCACTTACTTAGCTAACAAATTATTAGATCCTATGTTTTTCTCTCTTTTTTCCTTTTCTTCTATCTGTTGGACTTAATTTGCTTCCTGATTTATTTTATTAATCCTCACTTAAGCTCAGAAGCAGCGAGTTTGCTTGAGGTACTTAAGTCTGCATTGCTTTGAAACTCCTAATAGAACCATACCCAGAAGGCAGTTTGTACCAAGTCAATTGCATCTCTTCAAGCCACAACAAAATGTAGATCTTAGGCCTTGTTTAGGTTTTCAGCATTATTTTTATTGACTTTATGTCAATTCTCACCTCAATGACATTTTTTTTCTCACCTCAATTACATTTGTTTCTTGCTGTTGGGTAGCTCTCCTCATTTGTGCCTGTGAATGGTGACGAGTGTTTTTAACAGATTTTACTTTTAAACCCATGATGAGGCACGCCACAGTCGGGCCTCATTTTTGTGGTTGACCTGCTCATATTTGGGACTGCCCTGAACCTAAAAGAGGTGTCCCCACCCAGGATCCCCTCCCACCCATCTGTCCATACCCATCCCTGGGCGCATACTCTCAGGTCTCCCCTTGTACAGTGTATATAATGAAAGCAGGGAAGCACACCTGGAGTTACAATGCTACTGAGAAAGCACAGAGCTATGCTGAACTAATTAGAAGTGGGTAAATAAATTCAGTTTTCTTTGCCGTTGGTTACACTGATAGAGATTGATGCCCTGGTAAGTGCAGCCTGCCCTGAGACAGTGGCTGAGCTTCAGGCCATGTCCTGAACTTCACATGGAGGCTGACAATAATTTTTCAGTAAGCATTCACTGTGGCTCAGTAAAATTTGCCTATCTTCAGCTTAAAGCATAACTTTATATCCTTATAGCAAGCAGAGAGGGTAGTGGTGCTTTAAAATCTCTCTGTTTGAAAGGAAGTAGTTAATATTTTCCTAAAAGCTCACAGATTTAAAACCTCTGCCCCAGCTGCAAGGTCTGCCAGTAACCTTTTTTTTTTTTTCCCCCCCACGTTTCATTGTTTCAGAAATTTAGTAATTATCGTTAGGCCTGAAATCTTGTGATGGGCCTCTGTGCATCATGGCCCGTGTTAGATTCCTGCCTTATATTGCTGTTTGTAGCCTTTCACTTACACAGTCTTTACAGCAGCTTCATTCTCTGCCCTCCACAGAACAAGACATGGTAAATGTGAGTGTATGTGGCAGAGCTAGGGGAGGAAGAATTGCAATGAAGCTCTTTCAACATTCTTGGAAAACTTATATCAGGATTGTACTAAAAATGAAAGTATTTGTGTTCTTGAAGGAGAAAGTGAAGTTGTATTAGCTTGTGTGATGAAGCTCTGTCAGCTTT